TCCCTTCCCCTCCCCACAACAGACACCCTGTGAGGTGGGTGGGGCTGAGAGAACTCTGACACAAACTGCTCTTTTTCAAGGACAGCTGTGCCAGAGCTTGTGACTGACCCAAGGTCACATCAGCAGGTGCAAGTGGAGGAGTGGGGAATCAAACCCGGTTCTCCCAGATTAGAGTCCGCACACTTAACCACTACACCAAACTGGCTCTCTGGATTTGCGATGGGACGTGGACAGGCGCTGGATGCCACGGGATTCTAGCGCTCCCGTGATCAGATGCCTGCCCCTGCCTCGCGTTTTCCGGATACTAGTGCACTTTCTGAGGTACTTTTTTACTGCGCATCTTCAGCGGGATGCCACAGGTTGGCCACGGGTGCGCTACGCTTCCCAGATGTGGTGTGATCGCGCCCTGAAAATCCGCCTGACATTCATGCCTTTAGCGTGGAAAATCCTCCGTGTGACTGGGGCCTAAATATTCACACCTATCGTATTCTACAAAGGCAAGAAAACCTGTAGATAAACAAATAGGGCTACTTTCTATGGTAATACAGATGCTCACAGGCTGTTTTTGGAAAGGTGGTGCTGCTTAGCCATTATGTGACTCTACGTAAGAATTGCCTTCAAGCATCTAGCAGGGGAAATGGGCACCCTATCTGCTTGGGGTGGAGATGGTGGTAATAAAAAACATGTTAAATTTGTTTATTTTATTTATTTAAAATATCTATTAGCCTCCTTTCTTCCCTATGGAGCTCAAAGCGGCTTACAATACTAATAAAATACATAAGATAGAGTACACTTACAAACATAAAACCAAACTTAAACATTACAATTTAGGACTGCTTTAATCAAATGCAGTCCGAAATACAACCGTCTTCATCTCCCTCCTAAAGAATGGACGTGGGGGGGGGGGACAGGTGCACCTCCCTGGGGTGGCTGTTCCGTAATTGTGGGGCTGCCACCGAAGAGGCCCACCAGATGCGATTCTTTGATTGATGGGACAGTCAGGAGGGTCCCTCCCTGAGATCCTGATTCCTGGGCAAGACCATGCGGGAGAAGGGGGTCCTCCACAGGCCCCGGCCCCAAGCCAGGTAGGGCTTTCAAGATCTGGTTTTCTAAGGTGACTGCTGTGTTGAGTAGCACTCCCAAGCTACAAACCTGGCCTTTTGGTGTAGTGGTTTGAGACTCAGTTTGGTGTTGTGGTTAAGTGCACGGATTCTAATCTGTGAGAACTGGGTTTGATTCCCCACTCCTCCACCTGCAGCTGCTGGATGACCTTGGTCAAGCCATAGTTCTGTCAGAGCTGTCCTTGAAAAAGAGCAATTTCTGTCAGAGCTCTCTCAGCCCCACCTACCTCACAGGGTGTCTGTTCTGGGGAGGGGGAGGGAAAGGAGTTTGTAAGCCGCTCTGAGACTCCTTTGGGTAGTGAAGGGTGGGGTATAAATCCAATCTCCTCCTCCTCTCCTTCTCCTTCTTCTTCCTCCTCCTCCTCCAAGGGGAGTATAGCCCCGTCCAAGACAGGAGAGATCTGAAGTCCTTAGTCTGCCTTCCGACTAACCCAGAGAACCTGTGCCTTGTCAGGATTAAGTTGTACCACCCCCAATAAGTGGGAAAGAAACAACAGCAATACTCAAGATGTGTCAGTGAAAGGGACCGGTAACAAAATTTAACTGATATCCAATTATCTGACCTTCTTCACAGACTTCTTCACGGGGATGTATCCCGAGAGCATGTTCACTTCCAACAGGACCATGTTGCTTCTCTCCCGTTGTCCCGAGTAGCTACGGAAAGAAGGAAGGCCGGCGTCAAAGGAAGGCCAAGGGAGCCAACGGGTCGAATGGCACTCTCAGCCCCTGGCAAAAAGGGAGAGGACAAACCTGCACGGGACCCTTGTAAGGAAACCCTCCTTGGGGCAAGGACACCAACAGGGATGATGGCACCCTATAGAAGTAACCGCCGGGTTGCCCCCCCCCCAAAATGTGACCGCCTGGAAACTGGACGCTTTCCCTGCCCCTACTCAGGTCTGCCTCAGCAGTCCTGAGTCCCCAAACTCCGACAGGCGGTGAGTGTGCACAGTGTGTGTCTGTGTATGGCGGAGAGTAGGGCTGCCAGGCCTTTGTGTGTTCAGGGAATACCCCTCACGGTTCCCTCTGCTGAGTGAGCCACAGAAGTATGAGAATACGATGGCTGGTGTCATGGAACAGAGGCGTGCACTTGCTGGTCTCTAGACTAAAAACATCAAGCAGGTGGAAACAGGTCTGGCCTGGTCTGCCAGCTATCAAACAGGGATTCCAGAGACCCAAAATAGCACGGCCTTAGAAAGCGATGAGGAACACAGGTGTAACCTACTAATCTGGCCTTTCATTGATTAGAAACACTGTAATCAGGAGTCATTTCCTGCGGGAGCGCACAGGAGTGGAGCCCCACCTCCTGCTCCCAGCAGCACTCAGTCGGGCCACAAGGAGCAAGAAGCAGCCAGGTAAGTTGCAGAGTCCCGTCCCCCCCAGCCCACCTTCAGGTACAAGCTCTCCCTCCTCTGTGAGGGCAGATTTGCACGTCCCCCCCCCCCCCAATAGCTAGCAATCCAAAACAGTCCAGTGGCACCTTTAAGACCAAGTTTTATTCAGGTACAAGCTCTCCCTCCTCTGCGAGGACAGATCTGCATGTCCCCCCCCCAATAGCTAGCAATCCAAAACAGTCTACTGGCACCTTTAAGACCAAGTTTTATTCAGGTACAAGCTCTCCCTCCTCTGCGAGGACAGATCTGCACGTCCCCCCGCCCCCCGACAGCTAGCAATCCAAAACAATCCAGTGGAACCTGAGCGGTGGGTGTTGCCTTCTGACACACTTCCGGTGATGCCAGGGGGTGTGACATATGCAAATAAGTTATGCTAATAAGTTATGTTAATGAGCTCCTGCACCTCTTTTTCTACAAAATGACCCCTGACAGTAATGAATATCAATCGATACTGTATGTGTCTAGGCCTGATGACACAAGTACCTGAGAAGTACCTGATGAGAGAAGTACAAGAGAAGCACCTGAGAATGGCAAGGATGTCTAACTAAATACAGAAGTGAAGATATAATGCAAAGATGGGCATATTGTTCACAGTCCAGCAGACAGAAACATGTATGAGAAACTCGTAATCGCTATTTGTGATGTCCTTCATTAGGATGCGAAGTAGCAAGAAGAAACTAATCTGGATTCATCTGGAGCTGTTCAGACGAATCGAATGCACATCCCTAGCTAGGATTAGGTACTCATATGCAGAACCATAAGATTGTGGCCTTTAAATAATATTTTAGCACTTTTGAATGTATAATTAAATTATATATGATATTTTGTACATTAGCATTACACGAGTAGCTATATTTTAGTTTGTTTTTCTTGGAAGGTAACCTTTTTGATTATTCTTCTCGTGTAGGGTTGTGTGTTTTTCTCTCATTTTTTGGTCGCGCCCATTTTCCATTGTTTTCAATGGAGGGGAAAAAACAGCAAAAAAACAACAACGCATAGGCAATAGAAGCCCAAGAGAACAGAATTAAAGTCCCAGATAATCTCTGCAGTGGAAACTGAAGGCGGGGGCATTTTTGCAAGCTCAGAAGAACCCAGACAATGCCAGCTGAATCACAATCCAAGCAAGGGGGGCATTTTTGCAAGCCCAGAAGAACTGGTACAATGTACAGAGTGCCCAGCAGTGGTAGTGCAATCACAGAGTGCCCAGAAGAACCCAGTGCCAATGTGACAATGCCAATTCAACAGGACTGATGTCAAGTACAGAATCACAATCCAAGGAAAGGGGGGGGGGTTGGAAGCTGAGCAGAACCAGTGCAATGTACGAGCACCCAGAAGAACCCAGTGCCAATATGGCAATACCAGCTCAATCACAATCCAAGGAAGGGGGGCATTTTGCAAGCCCAGAAGAACCAGTACAATGTACAGAGTGCCCAGCAGTAGCAGTGTGATCACAGAGTGCCCAGCAGAACCCAGTGCCAATGTAGCAATACCAGGACTGATGTCTAGCACAGAATCACAACCCAAGCAAGGGGGAGTTGCAAGCCCGGCAGAACCAGTGTGATGTACTTTGTTGGTGTTCAGTTGCACAGTCGAGTCCGACTCTTTGCGACCCCATGGACCAGCTCCCGCCAGGCCCTCCTGTCTTCCGCCATCCTCTGAAGTTGGCTCAATTTCATGTTCGTTGCATCAATGACACTGTCTAACCATCTCATCCTTTGCTGTCCCCATCTTCTTTGACCTTCAATCTTTCCCAGCATCAGGGTCTTCTCCAGTGAGTGATGTACTAGTGCCCAGCAGAACCCAGCTCAATCACAATTCAAGCAAGAGGGGACATTTTACAAGCCCAGCAGTACTAGTGCAATCACTGAGTGCCCAGAAGAACCCAGTGCCACTGGCACTGCAAGCTTAAAAGGACCGATCTCAAAACACAGAGTCACAAATCCAAACAAGGTGGGTGGGAGTTTGCAAGCTTTGTGCAAGAAAATGGGAAGTGAAAACAAAGGAATATGGGCAAAGCTGGGGGTGGGGGGCCCTCTTGAAACTGACATGACTAGTTTGAAACTGACAAAAGTGTTTTCAAGGCTGGAGAATCCCCTCCCTCCCCCAATTTTTTGAAGTTTGGTAAATATTTTGTTTGACTGGAGACTGTCTGGAAATGTATCCATTCATTTGAAAGTTTGTGCCAGTTGACCTTCAGTTTGTGAACCATGAACCACCCAAAATTTGTCATGAACTATGACTCAGTTCATGCCCATCCCTAGTCACCCTCACTCAGTGTGTTCCATGTTTATGAGAGATCAATGCCCATCACCACAGGGCTGTAGCCCTATCATCTTGCATTGGCTGGGTGCATCTGGGTGTGCCTGTCATGGAGGCATCGGTGGCATACTGCTTCACAATTGGTGAATGTCAGTAGAGAGGTTATGATGTAATCACCTTGGAAAAGGGCATTTGTGTCATATATTTCCCTCAGGGAACCAGCCATAAGATACTGACTAGAGGCACTGGAGTGTTTGGTTCTGTCTATTCATTCTGTATTGTCAGGGTTTCTGAACCCAGGAGCACAGAGGAATTCCTGCT